CATCAGACCTGTCCTTCAAATCGGGGAAAAGGAGGGACATATTTGTCTGCCGTATCGGAGGAGTCTTCGGTTTGGGATGTCCTCCGTCGCGGCGCTGTGACGTATGCGGCCGACGAATTCGGCCTTCGGAGGACCCGTCCTGCCGTTTTGGACACTTACAATATAAAAATGTTTGTTATAATCATGTCTTGTGATTATTTGACAGGAGTTTTACTTTTAAACTGTAAGTGTATTTAATTTAGTTATGTTAGTTGTGTTAGTTTAGTTATGATGTAAATACAATAAAAATTAAACCAAGATTTATAATAATTATCATTTTGATCCATACATTGGGAATGTCTGACTGGACCTCGTGTCACTTTATGTTCAATAAATTGTGCCCCGAGGTCAAAAAGGTGAAGAAGCCCTGGTTTAGATGACTGTACATGTTAGCTTTGTAGAGACCTAACAGAGTGCTGTGTGAATGGATAAATGAGGACACAGATTGTAGTGTGAAGAGCTTTGAGTGTCCTGGTTGGATAGAAATTCACTATACAAGTACAGTATATTTACCATTTACATGTAGTGGGTATTCTGAGAGCCCTCTTGATGAAGATTTGATTTATGTCTTGGTCATGTGGAAGTAAAGATCGAAGTACCTCATGACACATTCCTGTACACTTTTCCCTTTCGCCAAAAGCTCTGGGATACCTATAATACTCAAATAGTTTCTTCTGCAGTACTTTTCTTGGTATTGTATCCGGGCTTCCTACCGCGTAGCTCTGGTCTTCAACTCAGCTGTGACTTCAGTAAGCTGCAGGTTCTCTTCTTCAAGTTGAGACACTCTGTTTTCAGCTTCCCCGATCCTGTTGCCGAGTCCAGCTACGTCAGATTTCAGTGAATCAAGACAGTCTTTAATCATAGTCACGCTGATCCCAACATTTTGCATTTTGTCTTGAAGACCCGATTCATGTTGCAAATTTCGTTTACCACCAACAGGCAACAGGCCTGCCTCAGCCTCAGTAGCTCTATGCTGGTGTTAGCATTAGCTTCATTAGCTCGGGACTGCAACAGGATCATTTAATCAACTTTAGTGTCCACAGTGCTTTTTAGTGGTGAGTTTTTCCCTCTGTTCATCCATGCTGATTAAGTTGCACCTCACTCAGAAAGATTTAGCCTCTTGGTGGAGAATAAAAGTGGAAAGTTGGGCGTTATCAGCTCTAGCTCTTCAGAGTGCGTCTGCTCCTCGCTGCATCATCACTGGAAGTCAAGAATTGTTTTTTTTTTTGACAACACTTGTTTCTTGACAGTTGTTTTCTTGACAACAAGTGGATCTTTGTATTTTGTCTGGGAAATTTTCAACTTCAATGTAATTGCCAAGTCAATTGAGAGTTTTTCATTTTTTCAGTTACTTTTTTTTTCATGCTGTTACCGATTTTGATCCAGAAGTCAGAGCTGGTCAGATCAGTTTCCCAGTTGCCGTTATGTCTGAGGTGCATATTAATTTATACACTCTGGATATAAGTTATACCCTCGAATCAGTAATTTTTATTCATTCATCTACTAATTTAGGTGGTTCCAATAAACTGTTAACTAAGTTTGTTTTGGATTTAATGATGTGTTTAAGCTCTTGATAGTGGAGAAACTCTTCTCCCCCAACTCCAAACCTCTGGACCAAATCATTGAAAGATATAAACTGTTTATTCTGAAATAAATGTTGGAGGTGAGTCACTCCTTTTTCTGACAATGATGAATAGTAAATTGGTTTATTTGGTGCTTATTTATTGCAACAAGTGCGTATTTAGTTCTTTTAAGTCAGATTAGCCAGAAATGCCATATTGAAGTRTGCTAATAAGGACTTAATGGTGTTTTTTTAAACTTTCCAACAGGCTGTCAGAGTAGACTTTGTGGGTGTTTTTCCAAAAGAATTGAGAAATGCACATCAGTTGATTAAACCAGTTTTATGTAGGGGTAATTGGGAGCACTGAGAATAGGTAATTAAGATGTGGAAGTATCTTCATTTTAACGGTGGATACATGGCCGATAAGTGAAATTGAAATTCAGCGTTTAAGGTCTCCTTCAGTCTTTAAGTAGTTGGGTGTAGTTAGGAACGAATAATTTTGAAAGCTTGGGGGAAATATTTATTCCAAGACACTTTATATTCCCCACAGTGAGAGGTAATATACAGTAGTATTTTGAGATGCAGAGCTCCAAGAGTGAAAGGATAATTGATTTTCCTCAGTTTATGGTACAGTCTGAAGTTTTGGAAAAGTGATTGATATAAGACGTTTCTTGGAAAGAATTATGTGCATTTTGTAAAAAATAAAATATAATCTGCATATAGACTGATATGTTCAACAGCTGAGTCACAGATTCCTTTGATTTTGTTATTTTTCCTTATTGATATAGCAAGTGGTTCAATGAAACGATGAAACAGAAACTCATTCATCAGGTGGACAAAACACTATATTCTGTTTATAATTTCATGTTCATTTACTTACTGAGTTTTGCTTTCAGATGATGAAGATCAAAGCTGTGTGTCTCCTAAAAAAATCAAAGCAGAGTGAGGGAATCCTGTGAGGTCATTGTGTTTCATACAAAAATAAAGTGACAGTTTTAATGTAAAATTTTTAGGGCTGGGACTTTAATGCTTCAATCACATTTAATTAATTACAGAAAGATAACTTGTAAAAAATTAACTAAAATAATTGCACATTCTTAGTCCCATACTTTCTGTCACATGGCTAACACTGCTGCAGCTCCATGAGAGAAAGAAACACACCTGATGTTTGTTAACCTGACACACAGCTTCAGTTGCAATGAGGAACAAGAAAAATGCTCCGGCTTAGCATGTTTGCTGAGATTTTTTAAAAATGTCCTGATGTTTACTTAGTGGAGAAGAATGTAGTTGTGTTTAAATTGTGCCTAAATGAATTTATCAGTAAAGCATGTCAATCTCGAGGTATTGTAAGGCTTCCTACTGACAGCTAAATATGCCACAGTGCTGTTCTGCTTCACACACTCTCTCTCTCTTGTTATATCCTCCATCACAAGAGTTTATGGCAATATTCCACTATGCTAAAGCTAAGYGTTTCTCAGTATTTACGGGCTGTGATGCCAGTTTCCATCTTGTGTGCTGGGGAAGCTCTGATAATAACCCGAGAGGCAGATCTCTGTTAGAATATGTGCTGACAGAAGACCTGTTTATTAACAGTCTATCCCAGGTGATGGGTGAAAGAATTGCCAAGGAAATGTCTGTGGTGAACACATATTTTCAGAAGAGTGAAGAACACAGGGTGACACACAAGAGTGGAGGAAGGCCACCTAAAAAGAGATTAGAGATTGTAAAGTGGTGCCAGGGGAGAGTGTAACAGCACAGGGTGGTAGTCTGTAAAATGAGATTAGAAACAAAAAAACAGGACGAGAGTGAAGACAGAGCCAAATATTAAACAGTGGAAGCTAAAGAAGGAAGAGTGTTGCAGGCAGTTCAATGAAGAATTGTAACAAACCCTGGGTGGCAGTGAAGAGTTACCTGAGGACTAGGAAAGTACAGCTAAGATGGAGAGAGAAACTGACAAGAAGGTGTTGGGTGTCTCTTCTGGTCAGAGGAAAGAAGACAAGGAAAGTTGGTGGTGGAATGAGGACGTCCAGGAGAGCATTCAGAAGAAGAAGGCGGCTAAGAAAAGGTGGGACAATCAGAGAGATGAAGGAAGTAGGCAGGAGTGTTGTGAGGCTAGTCGCAGAGCAAAAAGAACGGTGGCAAAGGCTCAGGCCTATGATGAGTTGTATGAGAGGCTGGACAGTAAAGAAGAAGTAAAGGACTTGTACCGTTAAGCTAAACAGAGATAGAGCTGGAAAGGATGTACAGCAGGTTAGGTTGATAAAGGATAGAGAGGGAAACATAGTGAGTGAACAGAGTGTTGAGTAGATGGAAAGAGTATTTTGAAGAACTGATGAATGAGGAAAATGAGAGAGAGATGAGGAAAGAGGGGGGCAGATAGAGGATCAGGAAGTGCAGAGAATTAGTAAGGAGGAAGTGAGGGTAGCCTTAAAGAGGATGGAGAACGGAGAGGCAGTTGGTCCAGATGACACACCTGTGGAGGTATGGAGATGTCTAGGAGAGAAGGCAGTGGACCTTATGACCAGGTTGTTTAATACAACCCTGGAGAGTGAGAGGATGTCTAATGAGTGGAGAAGCAGTGTACTGGTGTCCATTATTAAGAACAAGGGWGATGTGCAGAGCTGCAGTAACTACAGAGGTATAAAGGTGATCAGCCACACCATGAAGGTATGGGAAAGAGTTGTTGAAGCCAGGCTAAYGCCAGAAGTCCAGATCAGTGAGCAGCAGTTTGYTTTCATGCACAGAAAGAGTACAACAGATGCAGTTTTTGCTTTGAGAGTGTTGGTAGAGAAGTACAGAGAAGACCAGAAGAGCTGCGCCGTGTCTTTGTGGATCTACAGAAAACATATGATAGGCTGCCAACAGAGGAACTGTGGCTCTGTGTGAGGAAGACAGGAGTGACTGAGAGTATGTGAGGGTGGTGCAGGACATGATGAAGACAGTGAGACAGTGGTGCAGGACATGATGAAGACAGTGAGACAGTGGTGCAGGACATGATGAAGACAGTTAGACTGTGGTGCAGGACATGATGAAGACAGTGGTGCAGGACATGTCTGAAGACAGTGAGACAGTGGTGCAGGACATGATGAAGACAGTGAGACAGT